GAACTGCTAAGGCAGCTGCACCCTGGTGCGACTATCACAAAGCAAGAGACCCAAGAACTCGAAAGACGAGGCCCACCAAGCCATTTATCCCTCTGCCCTTCAATTAATCCCACATGTGTTTATTAGTCAGGTTGGCACAATAAACTAACTCACCAAATTTTAAATTTCTTTCATTAATTGTATTCCTAGATATTTTATTCTTTTGTGGCTATTATTTTTTAAATCATCTTATTGGGGTTTTTTTACAGCTCTTATCACAATCCATCCATCCATCCATCCATCCATCCATCCATCCATCCATTGTGTCAAGCACATTTGTATATATGCTGCTATCATCATTTTCAAAACATTTTCTTTCTACTTAAGCACTTAGTATCAGCTCCTCATTCCCAATCCCCTCCCACCCTCCCTCCCTAATGAACCCTTGATAATTTGTAAATTATTTGTGTTAGTTAGTCTGGGTAGACTAGAGAAACAAATCCAGGGAGAATCATATGTGTATAAGGAAGAGTTTCACATAAAGGGCAATTGTACACTAAGAAAGCATCTCAACCCAGTCCAGTCAAAGCCCATAAGTCCTGTCCCCTAAGACTGTGACTCTGAGCCACCCCACCCCCCAGCAAATTATTCCCTCAAGGGGGTTAATTAAAAATGTTGAAGTTTTCCTAATTTTTCCAATGGGGTGCTGTGGTAGTTACATAATTTCATGTCAACTTTAAGCGTAGGGGTGGAGTCTAGCCTGTCAATCAGGTCACAGCTTCATGACGCCTCCTTGTGGGTGTGACCTCTCCCAAGGAGGGTCCTAGGAACCTTCCCCCTTCTCTGCCTTCACCCTCCTGCTGGCAAGTCACTCAGCGACCTGCCAGAGACCTCCCAGAGCCCTGTGATGCTTCTACTGCAATTTGGAACACAATTTTTCACCTGCTGGCGTTTTGCATCATTGCTTGTGGCTGTGTGAATCTGAAAGGGATGGATTTATGGACTAGTATCGGACTTATGGACTTGATCTGGACTGGGCTGGGGTTTTTCCTGATCTATAACTACTTCTTGATATAAAGCTCTCCCTTATACATGAGTGTCTCCGGATTTGTTTCTCCAGTCAACCTGGCCTAATACAGGTGCCTTTTAATATCAATAGCAGTGGTAAATCAGTCAGGCCCTGTGGTAAGTACTTTGCTCTCATACATTTTTTACTCTCAAAGAGTTATAAATACTCTCTATACATGAGTTAAGGAAGTAGTAGCAGTACAAAGATTGTTCTCTCTTGGATGTACAGTTTAGCAGAAAGTCAGAAAACATGCCTAAATATGTTTTTTAGGGGCAGCCAAGTTGATTTTTGACTCTTAGTGACCCCAGGTGATAGAACTGCCCATAGGATTTTCTTGGCTACAGTATTTCCATGAGCACAGTATCAGGTCTTCCTCCTGATGAGTGGCTGGATGGGTTTGAACTGGTAACCTTTTGTATTTAACCACTGAGCCATCAGGCTTCCTGTAAATATAAATACACAAGACAATCTTATTAAATTGTCTTAAGTCATCTTTTGACATTTTAGATTTTCACTGGTCTTTATTTCTGAAGTACACACATTATGTAAATTCATCGTGTGAGGCACGGGTGTGGCAGTGGGTTACACACTGAACCACAAGGTCAGAGATGTGAACTTCTCAGCTGCTTCTGGGAGAAAGATGGGGCTGTCTACTCTGGTAAAGAGTTACATCATACGCCCACAGGGCAGTTCTACTCTGTCCTACAGGGTTGCTGTGAATTGGAATCCTGTCGATGACAGGGTTTTGTTGTTGGGTGTTGTTTTGGATTCCTTGGGACCAATTTCTGGAGGAGGATCTCATACTTGGTAAGGCAGGTCATGGAAAAAGTGGAAGGCCCACAATGAGATGGTTGACAGTAGCCACAACAGTGGGCGCAAACTTCCGAATTCTGAGAATAGTGCAGGACAGGGCCGTGTTTGCCACTGTACTAGCAGGTTACTGCAAGTCTGAGCCAACCCATCAGCACTTCACATCAAGTGTGCGAGATTCATTTAACATGGAAATGTTTGAGGTGACTACTGCCATCCAGTTGATTCAGACTCATAGTGACCCTGTCGGAGAGAGCAGAATTGTGTCTTTGGGTTTCTGAGATTGCAAATCTTTACAGGAGCAGTCCACCTCTTCTTTCTCTCCCAGACGGGCTGGTGGATCCAAAGGGCTGCCTAATATTAGCAACCCAATTAGTGGCCCACACAGGACAAGAGCTCCTTAAAATTCAAGGAACATAAAAATCCCAAAATTGTGAGAATCATGACAAATGGTTTATCGTATTTGTTTATAGGCAATTTTAAGTGAATACGATTATGCTTAAAATCCCACAATTAGAAACTCACAGGGTAGGGACACTGATCTGGAAGTGAAATGTCTAAAAGGCATTAGGTTTTTCACGTCAAGGGTTGGATAGGATTCCTGCTTCCGAGAAAGGACCCTGCCACCACCAAGGGAGCTATGTTATGGGTGATGAAATTAGGAAATTATTAAATCATTCCGATTTAGAGATACTTAGGGCCAGAACTGACACCCGTCCTCCCCTTGGGGAGGTCCGCTTGTTCCTCAGTCTTTTGCCAGTACTTTCACCGTTTCCCTCCAATTATGAATTTTAGCGGAACGGTGTCTGCTCTAAAACACTGAACCTGCAGAGGTGGTACGGAGTTGCAGCCTGGAAGGTACGACCCATGGGCGTGACTATTTTGTTGTCTTCCTAGCAGGCAATTTTAGAGTAGCCCAGGGATGGAACTTCTAAACAAGTCATTCTCCCCGGGCCGCTACGAATCAGATATACCCAGGGTTACCCCGTGTACCCGACATCTTTCAGGCAGGGTTTCTTTTTTAAGTCGTTTTCAACGTCATGTAGTAAATCTTTTTTTGCTGCAACTGTACAGGTCTGCTTAGATTTACAGCAAATGGCAAAGCAGTAACAGCTCCCGGGGTATTAATTATCACATCATTAAAACACATTTTCCAGCGTCGACAAGCCCCTTTAGGCTGTTCTGCACGAGCGGGGGTTCGGAGCCAGTGCTCCTACATCTGGACGTTTCTAGAACGAGCGGCAATCGTGGAGCGGCCGAGAGTCGGCA